GTAGATAATGATTGCTTAATCTCGCTTACATGATCCTGTTGGGTCCGGTAAATCAACAAGTACCAAAAACCGGAAAAAACATCCAATACAATGCAACATTTCCTACAGGCCTCAGACCCCGAGCAATACAAATATAAGACATCAAATACAAGAAGCGGACCCCGCCTGCGCTGCAGCTGCTCCGGCTTACTGCCCTGACGAACCCGACTATGACTTCAGTGCAATACTGTTGTTTTACTCGTCGAATACGTTTTACATGGGCAAATCACATGGATGTGTCTGCCAGCTCCAACCATATCGCACCACTGTAATTACAACAATCCTTTTTCAAGGAATATGAGCCACAATCAGAAGTACGTGAAAGACATCATTTTATGATGAATCAGTATGCAGGAAATAATCCTTAGCACAGTGGGGACGGAAACCATGTTTAGCCTCTTTCTCAAGATGGCGTTGGTGGAGAAACAAGCCAGCTTAAAAGAGAAGGTTAAATTGCTTGTGGCTATAAAAATTGTTTCTGTTGAATTGGCATTTGGGGGAATTTAGCATTTCTCAGCTTTTCAATGCAAAGACGCCAGAAAACAGAAAACAAAAAAAAAATTGAAAACAAAAAAAAATTGGAATTTGTAAATAACGCCAGAAAATAGAAAACATATTTTAAGCAGATACATTTTTAGGAACAGAGTGAAAAGGCAGTGGCGCGGCGGTGGCGGGATGCGAGGTGGGCCAGGAGGAGGAATGATGGGGCCAGGAGGCGGAATGATGGGGCCAGGTGGAGGTAGTGGAATGGGAGGTGGACCAGGAGGAGGAATGGGACCAGGTGGTGGCGGTGGCATGCGAGGTGGACCAGGAGGCGGACCAGGTGGAGGTGGTGGAATGCGAGGTGGCCCAGGAGGCGGAATGATGGGGCCAGGTGGAGGTGGTGGGATGGGAGGTGGACCAGGAGGAGGAATGATGGGACCAGGTGGAGGTGGTGGAATGCGAGGTGGCCCAGGAGGCGGAATGATGGGACCAGGTGGAGGTGGTGGAATGCGAGGTGGACCAGGAGGCGGGATGATGGGACCAGGTGGAGGTGGTGTAATGCCGGGTGGCGGGATGCCAGGTGGGGGAATGCCAGGACTAGGATGGGGTATGGGTGGTTGGGGTCTATAGCATGGAATGCTATCAGCATTTAGCGGATTTTCTGCTTCAAGCGCAGTACTGATGTCAGCAGAAACAATTGAGGAGAATAAAGGACCGTAACGTATCATAATAATAGTGTCGAATTGTAATAAAATTCACTTCTTGTATAACAGCGGTCTTTATACGTTTTTGCGTATGCAAATGCAAAAATACTTATTTTTAAGACCCACGGGTGTCTATCTGCCGGGTTATTTCAGCTCTGCAACCAAACAGACTTTGATGCTGAAATTTTGT